TTGAGGCGTTGCAAAAATTCCATGGGGGAGAGGGCTTCGAAGAAGTCGTGCCTCTTTCCAAAACGCATAGGAACTCTGCGTGTTTGGAAGGATAGGCTTTTGAGAGGCATTGCAGTTGAAAATGGCTATTCCGTGGGGTCTAGGCATGTTCTATCTTCTCCGCCTAGGAGCGTTCACAGTGTGTTTCGCAATCTTGAGACTTGATGTCTCTTTTGCTACAGCTGGTTCGAGTCGGCACCTTGCTTTTCCTCTCACCTGGACACCTGTCTTTTTGTAGCATGATCAGCTCGGTGATGTCAAGCGTTCCAATGGAGATTGTTGCCAAGGCGTGACTTAGGAGTGACTTCTTGGAATCGGCGTTTATGGGGGAACACATGGCCGCACAGATAAAGGAGGAACACAGATAAAGGGGAACGTCCCGCCCACGGCTGCGCCTGCTGTTTCCGTGCCCGAGCAGCCGCACACAGATGCGGCTGAAAAGCCGCAGAATGCGGCACGCAAAGATGCGGCTAAGACCAAGACGAGGTTGCTAAGCGGCCCGCTTCCGCTGTTCTAAAGCGACCGGCCTCTCGCGGGCAATGAAAAGGAGTTCTGAACGTGTGCAGAGTTGTCCAGTGGATGCGGAAATGCGTGTGACATTCATGTGGCCTTGCCAACTTAGGCCCTGAGTATCCTGATTTGTTGGCATAGCTGGGGTGGGGACCTTACGTGCTTTGACACTTGGTGAATGTGTTCTCTGCGTAGTGCTTTGTTTTGATGTGCCTCTTAGGCATGACTTTGTCGTTTGCCTGTAGCTAGCATCTAAATCCAGTTCCGTACGCACGGGTTGTTGCCCGCTACTGTTCAACAAGAAGTTCGTTCAGCGACGCCGGCATGATGGCTCAGAGAGCGTCACGTTTTGGTCTGCAACCCACCCAATCTCACATGCCTGACATTGTCCCGCAAGAAGCAGCGAAGCCGAATGAGCTCAAGCAGGTGATTGGCAGCATGTATTTTTAAGCACGCTTCCAGCCCTGTTTTGGCATGGGCGTTGACGATCGTGAACGGCGCGCTACATGCTGGTTCCAAGATTTGCCAGGTGACTTGCCAGCGACATGCTGGCCATCTCTGCAGCGCTTACCAGCACACCTGCCGATCCTAGAGGAGCGTCCACCTGCTCGCCAGGCGTGCAAATCTAGAGGGCAACCGCTGTGGCGCAGCCTTGCGACTGTCTTGATCTCCGTTGCCACCCAACTCGAAGGACAAGGGCACAAGCGCTCTGGGGGTCTAAGGGTCAGAGCGGCGGCGAGATGGGCGAGCCTGGTGGCAGAGCGTTTCGCGAATTGAGCTGATCGCTGATTGACATGTTAGCTACGGAGCAATGCGCAAACACAGTTTGACGAATGTACATTGGCAGCCACTGGCCCGACCCTTTTGTTTGAAGTGCAAAATTCCCAAACTCCACACCCCCCCCCCCACCAAAAAAAACCCATTAAAACAACAACAACCCGCTGCGCCGTTTATGCTCAAGTTGGAAAACAGGGCCTTGGTGATTGAGACTTGTAAAGGGGAGGGGTTTCAGTGGACACCCGGTGTACTTTTTAAAGTGAATAGTTCCAGAGTTAGCGCGCAAAAAATGCTGTTGCAGCTTGTGCCTACCGATTACACGAGAGAACTCATACAACTGCGACAAGAGCGCAGGTCGCTCAGTCTTTTTGCGCCCGAGTTTTATGTCGCCGTTTGCTTTCTGTTTTTTGGGTCCTTGTGTTGAAGTGTTGGAGATCACGCGCGCTGAAGCGTTCTTGCCGTCTTCTTGCGCGGCGTGCACGGATTGCGGCCCACACCTCTTCCCCCCACGCAGGGCGCGCAGCCGTGTAGAGAGAATCTTGCGTGGCTCGCACTGGCGCCCAGTACAACAACTAGTTGGGCAGCGAACGCAATCCACCCCACCCCCGACCCCTCCCCGCTCTTGTCTCGAGGGCCGGCGCGGCGTGCAGGTGCTTGCGCGGGCGCGCGTTTTGTGGCGGGCGAAACACAAGGCGCGGAGGTTGCAGCTGAGCAGGTGATCTGCCCAGTTTGTTTGGTAGACGTGACAAAAGCGCATGCTGGGGCGCCGGAAGGGATTGGAAGCGGGCGCGGACATATCCAGTAAATGAGTTCATGGCTAGCGTTTGTGGGGGTTGACTGGATGCTTTTTTCCTTCCAGGGGTCCGTTTGAAAGAAGGCCCAGCTGAACGACCCCGAAGAACAGTTTTCATTGGTAGAGCAGCTTGACAAGCAGGGGAGCACAATTCGCGTCCGGCGCGAGAGGACCAAAGCAGCCGGCCAATCAGACAAGAGTCTCCCGCTGTCGCGAAGCGCATTTGCTCTTATTATCGTCTTTTCACAAGCGCTTGCGCGTCACACAAAGGCGGACGGCCACATGCAGCGCGGAAGTCCGCGGGAGGAACTCTTGGGCCCGCAACACGCTTGAGCAACACGCAGCAAATTCTAAGGGGAACTAGGGAGAAGGGGTTACTAGTGCCATTTCCACAAAAGCCACAAAAGCAACAGCATATTTGCGCTTCAGGAATGACAGAGCTGGCAGTTGCTGGTGCGCTTGCAGACGCAGAGGGCTGCGCCAGACTGCTTGCCTCCTTTGGCTTCAAGTCCAAGTTTCTGCCTTATTTAGTCATCCGAAAGCTGCAGAGCATCAGCCTTGCCGTTGGTCCTCTTCGGCTCGTGGGCTGGGGCGCGCAGAAGGTTGCGGGCAAGCTGGCTGGTGCAGAGGGGCCGTTTACACAGACAGCGACTGGGCTGAGCGCGTGTCCAAGTTTTCTGCGTATATGTTTATGCTTTGCCTGTGTTTTCCGTTTGCGCTGGCGCCTTTTGTGGAAGTTCGAGAAGCAAGGACCTGGAGAATGCTCTTGTTGACATACTGCCGCACTGCCGCCGCATCATAGCCGCACATTTGCCCGGCTGGGAGCGAGTCTTTGGCTACACGGACTGCAAGCATGTTTGCTGCGAGATCCTTGACTTTAACCGCTGCCAGTGTCTTTGACTCTTTGCTGCCTTCTCATGATGCGGGCCGGGGATGTGGCTGCTGTGGCAAGCTGTTTGCTGCTAAGGATGCGCAAGTTCCTGGATGCTGAGTATGCTCGGCAGCGGCATCCTGCAGATGCTCGCTCGCAGAGGGAGTGGAAAGAGTTAGTGCAAGATTTTGCGCGAGCAAATGGTCTTCCTTCTCCAGAGGCAGCCCTGCAGCACAGTGAATGCGATAGCAGCACTCCGCACTTGTCTGACTCCCAGAACGCATTCCTAGATTTCTTGGATGCTCTCGTTGTGCGGTTTATCACCGCGTGGCTGTGTGGCCAGAGGCCTTTGCGGCAGACAGCTTACAGGTTCCTTGAACATGACGATTGGTCCTACAAGAAGATCGGGCAGTTTTCGTACCATTTGGACAGGTCGTCTCTTTTGCAGTGGAAGTATGTGCCTTGGCTCTGGCTGTTTCACCCCCCGTTGCAGATGTTGAGCCCTTTCCGCTCTGGCTGAACTTCGGTGAGCAGAAACTGTTCTTGGACAAACATGTTTGCCTTTGTTTGGTCGGCTGCCTGGGCTCATCTCTTGAGCTTTCTTGGGTTTAATAGACACTGTTTGGGAAGCGCAGTTTCAGAGAGCGGAAGCCCGTTTTCAATCCCAGCTGAGTTGAGGGCCCTTTTTGTTTCCTCCATCCCCCCAACTTGATTTTTCAGAAGATTTCAGAAGAACACGCGCCAGAAAGAAAGCGGGTTCACAATTTCGGGGTGCTCGATTTGGTCTGTAGCATGTCTGCTCGTGTCTACGCAGAATCGTGACTTTGTAAAATCCTTGAGATGTGTTTCAACTGCGCAGCGTCACGCGCAGCGGTTGGCTGGGGCCTGAACGCGCTTCGGCTGCGCAGGCTGAAGCTTATGTGCATCAAAATCAGCTCTCTGCGAACTTTTAGGTGCTATCCGAAGCCCTGCGGACTTTGTTCGTTGCGCGAAACTGAGCATTGAAGGCGGATCCTCCTCTGCGGGAGTTCTGACACAGGACTTTGTTCCCTCCACGTGATGTTGTAGAGCGGGGCCTGCAAAGAAATCCTTGCGAGAGATCTTAGGAAGCTCCTTACATATTACAGACTGTGATCAGAACACTTGTAGAAGGTCTTGTGCAGAGAGCCTGCAAAGACTCCCCTCCACACGTATCTCGTCTTGGCTCCAAGGCTTCATGTCGAGACATCTTGTTGTTAACGCTCCGGGTTTGCGAGCTTGCGCAGAGATGCCGCGCACGAGACCACAGAAGCGTTAGTATAATTTCTTTCAGATAAATATTGCCTTCCATAGACACCTTGCGTGCATTAGTTGTACCTCATGTCCATGCCCAGTTTGGGGCTGTTCCACAGCGCAGGCTCTGCAACATGCGTGCCCGGGGGCCGCCGTGTGGTGCTGGCCGCCCGCGGGGGTGACTGTGGCGCCGCTGGCCGCGCAAACACGATGCAAGGATCTTCTCTTGAGCGCCCTGGTGGCTTGCACGCTGGGCAGCAGTCCGGCAGGAGCGAGTCGCCTTCGCTGGTGTGAGTGCAGTAGCTGCTTTGCTCTGCAGTTCAGAACCACACATGTTCGTTGCAAATTTAGGGTCTATCCTACATCGAATCGACAGCTTTCAACTGGTCTATCCCAAATCAATCCCCAGCTCCTCCGTTGCGTTCTGCAAGGTTTCGCGGCCCTCGTGGACCAGGTTGAGGCGGAGCAGTTTCAGTTCCGGTTCGCATACCCGAGGTCGCTGCTGTGCATAGGGTGAATGCGCGGCTCACTTATCGAAATTCAGAATTAGACCAGCCTGCAGCTTTTGAGTGCATCTAAACAAAGCGGTCTCACGAAGCCGCAAGCAGCCGAAATACCTGATGAAGTTTGCATCACTGTAGGCAATGTGAGTTTGCCATGTCACTCAGAGGCTGCTTTGCTTGGACGCGATTGTCATGCTTGCCTTTCCCCCCGTTCGCAGCTGCATTCAGCGCTGCACCTGGCTCACTCTTGACTCACAGCTATGGCGTCCGTCAGCATGTACTGTGCCCTACCATGCCTGAACCGAGTCGCTGAAGAGGGCCTCGTGGAGACCGACATATGGCACTTCACACCTGAAGCCGCAGTGCAGGCTGGCGTTGGGTCACGCAAGTGTGCTGCGACTAGCTTGGCCGCGCGTTGGATCTTGGTGTTTTGATCACTGCGTTCAGTACACGCCCTGCAGGCCATGCTCCGAACCCGAGCGCGTAAAGTTGGCTTCCAGCTCAGTGACTGCGAGCCGAAGTCTGCCAAGAGCACGCGTGCTCAATCCGCTTATGCGGCGGAGGAGCTGCTCACTGCTCGCAAGCTAGGCTGCTCGGCATATCCTGCGCAAGTTTGTCGATGCCCACTTAGGCCTCAGTGCTCGTCAAATAACAAAATTGGAACACGGACAATTCCTTGACTCATTCCCGGCATCTTCAGACATGATTCCTCATTGAGGGTGTTGCGGATCAGGTGGCTTGTTGCGCACTTGTGAAAGCATCGAGCGCGACACAATTGCGTTAATTGCGAGTTCGCCCTCAGGCCCGGATGTGACCAGAGAGAGGGATAAAGAAAAGGACGAAAGGAGGGGGAGAGATGAAAGGAAGAAATAGAGAGAGAGAGAGAGAGAAAGAGAGAGAGAAAGAGAGAGAGAAAGAGAGAGAGAAAGAGAGAGAGAAAGAGAGAGAGGGAGAGAGAGGGAGGGAGGGAGGGAGGGAGGAGCGAGAGACAAGAGAGAGAGAGCGAGAGACGAGAGAGAGAGAGAGAGAGAGACCAGAGACCAGAGAGACCAGAGAGACGAGAGAGACGAGAGAGGAAGGGAGGAAGGGAAAGAGGGACCGAGGGAGAGAAAGAGAGACCGAGGCTTGCTGAAGATGGAGTTGAACTACCAGGAAGCCTTTGAGCAGGGGCATATTGAAATCACTGCGCGCGGCGTCTCCCTTGTGAGCATGCTGCAGCTCGACCGCGCCCCACTCCGGCTTGGGAGCATGTCGGTCAAACTGACCGCGCAGGAGAACTACTTGATGGCGCAGCGCGAGGAGGAGGCCGGTGAAGTCGCAGAAGCTGCCGGACTTGCTTTCAAGTTCGTCGGGGTATCTTCCTTGGGCGGCGCCATCATCAGGCGCAACTGGACGATATCAAAGGTAAAGTATCCAACGGACTGGCCGATGTGCGTCTCCGACGTTGAGAAAGCAGCTTTGCTCGAGTGGGTTGCATCAGAGGGCAAGGAGGACACCATTCGCATGCCGTTGTACAGCAGCTCGTCTAGTCAATTCGTGTGTCCGTGTGTCTTACGTGTCTGCACTGTCTATGAGCAATCCTTTGTGAGGCATTACCTCGCTGTCTAAGACCCACTTCATCAACCGACGAGAGTCACCGCTATGCGACGTCTGGCTCGTCAAGGAGCCTGGTGCCGTGAGGAAGCAGGTTGTCATGAAAGTCCAAGTCGCCGCCTGCGAGCCGGAGAAGTCACATGCTGCCCTCTTGGATGAGTGGCAGATAGACACGCTTAGGTCCGACATCCGGTTGCTCAAGAGTGACTTAGAGACTGCGGAAAGCAAGCTCGAGCGGCTTGTCACAAGGACAAAGAAGAGGAAGGTGGACGACGCGGCTACTTCCTCCACGCCCTCTACAACCGAGCCCTCTGCGACCACGCCCTCTGCGACCGCTTGATGACCCTTTCATGAGCCATTTTGTACCCCGATGTCTCTGCAGAGAGCTTAACGGCCTGAACGGGGTCGGCGTTGGCAGAAACAAAACATCCCGAAACAGCCCTGTGCTGAGAGATGTTCGCCAACAAAAGCCAGGTTGCGCGATCCCGTCAAGGCCGCCAAGACTCTGATTTCTCCGTCAAGAGAGCTTTTTTATCTCCATCTAGAGAGTTGTTTTTATCTTGTTGATCGCGTGCTGAAAAGACATGCTTCTGCACAGAGGGCAACTTTGATGTGACTGGCGAGCTGTAGTCGTCTTGCAGTGTTCTTGCGACCCAGGCCAGGCTGTGTGTGTCGCCAGTTCCGAGACTGCCAGCGCCTCATGCTGTCTGCAGTTTCACACATAACTCATCGGATTTCTAAGCTGGAAATCGAGCTGGCCTGTAATTGGAGCGACCCGAGGCCAGACCACCACCTTCGCCCGAGACGGCCGGCGCCTCAAAGCAGCCACGGGCGTTACAAATATCACCACCTCCTTCTCTGTTAAACAAAACAAAATTCCTTCTTCTGTTTGCATTGTGCAGAGATCCAAATTTTTTGGCCCGCCTCTATGTTGGAAACTGGCTTTGTTCTTTTCAGAAACGGTTCTTGAACGATATTGCTTCGGCACAACCGCTACTGCTTTGGCAGTGACATTCCCAATCTCCGAAAGCTTCCAAAAAGCACGAGCGGACTTCATTGGCAAAGTCTTTGGGTTTGGTGGGTTCATCAATTGTTCATTAAGTGGCGGGGTGGGGTTAATGCCAAACTTGTTTGTTTTGATTCTGGGCTTGGGCGGCAGGAGCAAATTTTGAGGATGTCCACGTGAGGGAGACGGACTTTTCTGACAATGCTGAAAGAAGCCTTTTTCTTTACGCATGCCCTTTGCACGGGCAGGCACTATTTTTTTGGCAAGCCCTCCTGCAAATCCTGCCCGGTCCACTCAGGCGCGGCTGTTTTGCCGGCAGGTGTTATTAGGCTTTGCCGGGGCCCGAACTTCTGTCTCCGCTTCCCGCTTGCCTCCGACTCCACAATGCTGGACCAAAGAGCTGGCCTGGCCCTGCCAGGTCATCGCTTGCCAGGCCAGTTTTTTCTTTTGCCGGGCCAGCGTGGTGCCATGAAATGTGAGACTGACTTGCCCCTTATCTGCCACCTTTTGCCGGACAAGGCCCTGGCCTTTGATCTGCTGCGAGGCTTCAAGGCCTGGCACAGCCGCGAAACTCACATGCCACGTTTTTCCACACAAGGCCCTGACTTTTGATCTGCATTTGCTGGGCCCCGGCAAGGCCAGAACTTGAAGCAGTGGGACTTGCTGTGACTTGCCGCCGCGCCAGATCCTTGCCAGGCAAACCTGGCCACGCCCCGGCAGGATCCCTTGCTTTGCTCGTGGAAAACATGGGCTTTGACATGCCGCCAGGCCTCGCCTACCACTTTTTGGCAAACCCTGCCGGGCCCCCGGCAGACCTAGCAGACCTTGTAGGGCGCTCTTGCCGGGCCCCGGCAGGCCCCAGCGGACTTGCTTTGACTCAGTGAGGCCAGATCCCTTACGCGCCAACGAGGCTTGACATTGTTGTGGAACGTGAGACTTGCTGCGCGTGGCAGGTTGTGCTTTGCCGAGCCATCACGAGACTTGCTGTGACTTGCCACCAGGTCAGATGCTCTTCTTTTTGAGATGGGGGACTTTCTTTGACAATGCGCTAGGCCACATTCACCTTGCCGGGCCCCGGCAGACCATGCCGGGCCCCGGCAGACCATGACCGGTTTAAACCTGCTTTGACCTGCGCCAGGCCAGGTCCCTAACACCCCAACGAGGCCTGACGTGGAACATGAGACTTGCTGCGCGTGCCAGGCAGGGTTGCTTTTTTTGCCGGGACCCCAGCCCTAGCATGGCGCACAGCGGCAGAGCGATGTCTTGGAACGCAAGCCCCGCCAGGTCAGATCCCTTACTTTACTTTTTTTTGCTGGGAACGAGAGTTGCTGTGACTTGCGTGAAGGCACTGCCGTGGAACCGTGGAAGGGGGGGCTTGCTTTGACATGCCAGGCCAGCTCCCTCGCCCACCGGTTGCCGGGCCCTACACCTTGCCGGGCCCCGGCAAACTTTGCCGGGCCCCGGCAGACCTTACCGGGCCCCGGCAATCTAAACTGGGCTCGCTTTGCTTTTGCGCCAGGCCGGATTTCTTACGCCCCAACGGGGCCTGACATTGTCATGAAACGTGAGACTTGCTGCGGGTCAGATCCCTTACTTGCTACTTTTTTGCTGGGAACGTGAGACCGTGAGACATGCTGTGACTTGCGTGAAGGCGCTGCCATGGAACCGTGGAAAGGGGGACTTGCTTTGACATGCCAGGCCAGATCCCTCGCCTACCGGTTGCCGGGCCCCGGCAGACCTTGCCGGGCCCCGGAAGACCTTGCCGGGCCCCGGCCGCTCGCTTTGATTTGGCGCAACGACGCCTGACATTGTCATGGAACGTGAGACTTGCTGCGCGTGCCAGGCAGGGTTGCTTTTTGCCGGGACCCCAGCCCCAGCGTAGCGATGAAACTTGGAAGACAAGACTCGCCACCAGGTCAGATCCCTTACTCGCTACTTTTTTGCTGGGTGACTTGCGTGAAGGCAATGCCATGGAACCATGGAAAGGGGGACTTGCTTTGACATGCCGCCAGGCCAGATCCCTGGCCTACCAGTTGCCGGGCCCTAAACCTTGCCGGGCCCCGGCAGACCTTGCCGGGCCCCGGCAAACTAAACTGGGCTCCCTTTGATTTGGCGCCAGGCCGGATCGCTTACGCCCCAAGAGGCCTGACATTGTCATGAAACGTGAGACTTGCGCGTGCCAGGGCTTTTTGCCGGGACCTCAGCCCCAGCATGGTGCGCAACGGCAGAGCGATGAAAGTTGGAACACAAGACTCGCCACCAGGTCAGATCCCTTACTCGCTACTTTTTTGCTGGGAACAAGATTTGCTGTGACTTGCGTGAAGGCACTGCCATGGAGCCATGGAAATGGGGACTTGCTTTGACATGCCGCCAGGCCAGATCCCTCACCTGTCATTTTTTGCTGGCTGCCGGATCCTAAAGCCCTTGCGTGGACTTGCTTTGACTTGGCGCCAGGCCAGATCCCTGATGCCCCAACAAGGCCTGACATTGTCATGGAGTGTGAGACTTGATCTTTTTGCCGGGACCCCAGCCCTAGCATGGTGCGCAACGGTTTGGTGTCATCGTGCGTAGTTTGGCATTGCCATGAAACGTGGGACTTGGTAAGACTTTCCGCCAGGCGGCCTTGCCCTGCAAGCCACGTCCCCGCTTTCCAGGCCGTTTTTGTTGCCTTGCTAATCTGGCAAGGCCTCGGCTTACTGCCGTGTTTTGCTGTCAACTTGCCGGGTCCAAGTGGTCAATGCAACACCGTAAGAAACATGTCTGAAAAGCCCGGAGTTGCGAGTGAATGTCTGGTCGTACGGAAAGGTATCTGCTCAACATTTCTTGGATGTTGATCTGGGTGTGTGCCTTTTCAAAGGTGCTCAAGGTTTCGCAAAGGATGGAAGTTTGACCTGTGCAAATCATACCCCCGAACCATACCGCGAATCATACCTCCGAACTTGCCCCGATGGATACCCCCGTCAACTACTACTACTACTACTACTGCTACTGACCTACCTACTACTACTACTACTACCATCTCCTACCTCCTACCTCTACCTTCTTCTACTACCACTACTACTACTACTACTACTACGATTGCGACTACAACTACGCTACTACGACTACTGCTGCTACGCTACGCCACAGTTATTGCTACTACTACTACTACTACTACTACTACTACTACTACTACTACGACTGCTACTACTACTACTACTACTACTACTACTACTACTACTACTACTCTGCTGCCACTTCTACAGCAAACAAAACGTGCTTCCGAACCACGCCCGGATCTTGCCCCAACCGACGTCGAACATATCACTTGCTTGCGCGCGTGACCCTGTGCCCACGCGTACGAGACTGTTGCACCAACGGCAGATGGTCAGCGCAGCCAGTGCTGCAACAGAAGTTTGCAGCGCCTGCGAACCACACGCCTGCGTGATGCTGCATGCTTTTGCGTCAAAAGACCCTGTGCTCCTTGCGACAAACACGCTCACGGGCAGTGGAGGGCAAAGCGTATGATGCGAGGGTGTGATCTGTTTCTCCAACAAAGCAAGCAACAAAGTGTTGTCGCAACTCATGGCCTGCAGCATTTGCTTTTCAAGTGGGCTGAGCTGACCTTTCTCGAAGTATGCGCACCCGCTTGAGGCCCCCTGGTCTTGTGCGGATTCTGCACTCCCCGCCCTGTGCTACGCTGTGAGGTGCAAGACGTCCGTGATGGTTGCTGAGCCAGATGCCCTGCCCGTCAAGCCTAGACGCAAGAGGACTGAAGTTGCGCGCTGGCCTCTTTAGCCGGCCCACCCCAGAGTTGTCCCTTGATTTGCAGGACGAAACAGGATGAGGCTGATCGGAAACACAAGATCCGTTGCCGGCTGCGTGCTGAAGACTTGCTCAAAATACAATTGCA